AGGATGTGCCCTCTGTGCCACTCCAGTGATACTCCGTCCCCAGCTCTGCATGTCGTCCGTCTCTTTACATTTTGGTGTCATTCACTTGTGAACTTCACTGAGAGCACGCTCAGCCTTGGGAGGGCACGGATCTTATCTTCAGTGGACCTGGCCATGAACCCCCAAAGTCACCCACTGGGTAACCACGTGACCTCAGCATTCCTGAATCGCTCAAAGCTTCAGCAGCTTCATCTGGCACATGGCGACAACAGCAACAGGAGCCTCTGAATCTGGCGCAATGGCTCCTGGCTAAATCCTCACCTTGCAAGTGCCAGGATCTCTATCACTTTCTCTGTAAATCTGCCTTTCCAATAAAATCAAATCTTTAAAAAAACCAAAAACAGGAACCTCCAACGTTTTTGAGAGAAGGAAGTGGAGAGAAAATGCCTAGGTGGCTGGTACAACGCACGGCACATGACAGGTTCACTGTGCCCTGCCACACACCCACCCACACACCGACCCAGTGACCCCAGGAGGGAGGCGCTTTCTTCCCCAGCTGCTGGGACGCTGCCAGGCAGACAGCCCTGGCTCTCACACAGGCGCCTCTCCGGAGAGCCCACTCACATTTGTCCTGGTGAACTGCATCCAGTGACTAACGTGATATTGTTGCATAAAAAGGTAGTCCTCCTGCCTCAGCTCAAAGCATGATTCATTTTTTTTTAAAGATTTATTTATTTTTTTTTTTTTATTGGAAAGGTGGATATACAGAGAGGAGAGACAGAGAGGAAGATCTTCCGTCCGATGATTCACTCCCCAAGTGAGCGCAACGGGCCGATGCTATGGCGATTCGAAGCCAGGAGCCTCTTCTGGGTCTCCCACGCGGGTGCAGGGTCCCAAAGCTTTGGGCCGTCCTTGACTGCTTTCCGGGCCACAGGCAGGGAGCTGGAAGGGAAGCGGGGCTGCTGGGATTAGAACCGGCGCCCATATGGGATCCCGGGCATGCAAGGTGAGGACCTTAACCACTGCGCCACCGCGCCAGGCCCAGCATGATTAATTTTAATTTAAAATTTTTTAAAATTTTTATTTGAAATGCAGATTTACAGAGAACAGAAAAGAGAGATCTTTCATCTGCTGGTTCATTCCCCCAGTAGCTACAATGGCTGGAGTTGAGCCTATCAGAAGCCAGGAGCCTCTTCTGTGTCTCCCATGAGGGTGCAGGGTCCCCAGGCTTTGGGCCATCCTCCACTGCTTTTCTAGGCCACAAGCAGGGAGTCAGGTTAGTAAATGGAGCAGCGAAGACAAACCAGTGCCCTCTGGGTGCAGCATTATTCTTTTGAGCCACAGCACCAGCCCTAGAACATAATGACTAAAAATGCAGCTTGGGGGCAAGTGTTTGGCACACTGCTTAAGACATCATTTGGGAAGTCCACAGCCCATATCAGAGTCCCTGGGTTCAACTCCCAGTTCTGCTTAGGAGCCAGATGATTGTTAACGCACACCCTAGGAGCCAGCACGAAATGGCCCAAGTACTTCAGTCCCTCTCATCCAAAGAGACCTGGCACAAGTTCCAGGCTCCTCGTTTTTGTCCTGGCCCTGCCCCAGCTATCAAAGGCATCTGGGGAGTGAGCTGGCACATGGGAGATCTCTGTCTGAATGTCTTTCTACATTTTAAAAATGCCTATTACTTGAATAAGGTTAGACCTCTACCTTCAAGTACAGGAGCGGGGCAAGGAGCATCTTTCTGAGCCACAGTGGTGCAGAAGGTCCAATCCTGCAAGGTCCACTGTTACTATTAAGACCAGGACAAGCAAATAGTTCCAGAAAGCAGAGCAAGAGAAACCAGCCAACAAAGCAGGAGCTCAGGGCTCCAAAGAGCCTCAGGGAGCAGGGCTCAGCGGCCGCCAGCGCCCCGGCAAGCTCAGGACTGTGCAAGTGGAATTCATGATGCAAGAGGGCAGAGGCCAGCACTGGCGACCTTAGCCAGAGAACTTCCTGTGACCAGGAGTAAGGAGGGATAGCCAGGGTGGAGGGTGGTGAGGACTGTTCCCTGGTACAGCTGAGGTGGGAAGAGTGGTATGGATGTTACAGACAGAAACTGTTCTTAGTTTTTGGCCAAGTGCAGTAGTCTAGTGGCTAATGTCCTCACCTTGCATTCACTGCTAGTTCACATCCCAGCTGCTCCACTTCCCTTCCAGCTCCCTCTGGTGGCCTAGGAAAGCAGTGGAGGACATTCCAAAGACGGGACCCTGCACGCATGCAGAAGACCAGGAATAAGCTCCTGGCTCCTGGCTTCGGATCAGAGCAGCTCTGGAAGTTTAGGGAGTGAAACTGCAGATGAAGATCTTTCTGTATGTATCTCCTCTTTCTAAATTTGACTTTCCAATAATAAAAATCAGTTCATTGATGCTTGCAGAGGATGTCTGGCAACAGGGAGGGAACAACCAATTGGACAGCTCTCCTGGACAAGCTTTGACAGTAAGAATCTGGACAAGCTAAGGGTGGAGTATGTCCACCAATAAACCTTGGAAGGATTTCCTCAACCTTAGAGAAACGAAATCAGCAGCATCTCAGAACTATCAAAACCACTTATACAGTATCCTCAGAACATGTCCCACATCGGGGGCCCTGGGATGACATTGGATGGCTGTCCCCCATTCCGGGGTACTGTTGTGATTGGGCTGCTCGGAGTGGCCCTCCCCTCTCCCCAGCTACAGGAAAAAAAAAAAAAAAAGAGAGATTGGAAACAGTTGTCTTACCTACTTTCCCCCATTCCTCAACCCTCCTCACCCTGGTCAGTGGCCCATATGGGCATGCATCCCTTGTAACTATGGCAACATTATAAAAAATAAATTATTGGGCCCGGCGCAGTGGCGCAGTGGTTAAGGTCCTCACCTTGCACGCAACGGGATCCCATATGGGCGCCAGTTCTATCCCAGCAGCCCTGCTTGCCATCCAGCTCCCTGCCTGTGGCCTGGGAAAGCAGTTGAGAATGGTCCAAAGCTTTGGGACCCTGCACCCGCGTGGGAGACCCAGAAGAGGCTCCTGGCTTCGGATCGGCATAGCATGGGCCGTTGCGCTCACTTGGGGAGTGAACATCGGACGGAAGATCTTTTCTGTCTCTCCACCTTTCCAATAAAAATAAAAATAAATCTTTAAAAAATATAAATTATTAAAAGAATACAAAAAGAGAAAAAAAGAATCAGAAAACCATAAAAATTAAAAAAAAAAAAAAGGAGGCCTTACACAATGGCCTAGTGGCTGAAGTCCTTGCCTTGCATGCACTGGGATCCCATGTGTTCTGGCTGCCCCACTTCCCATCTTGCAACCTGCTTATGGCCTGAGAAAGCAATGGAGGACGGTCCAAAGCCTTGGAACCCTGCACCCATGTAGGAGACCTGGAAGAAGCCCCTAGCTCCTGGCTTTGAATCGGTCAGTTCTGGTGACTTGTGGTCACTTGGGGAGTGAATCAGCAGATGGAAGATCTATCTCTCCTCTGTGAAATCTGACTTTCCAATTAAAAAAAAAAAGTGGAGCAAGTGGGTCTTGAACCGACACTCATATGAAATGCAGTTTTACCCACATTGCCACAGTGATGGTCCCTAAGAATGTTCAATTTTAAAAATACTTAATCTTTTTTAAATTAAAGATTTTATTTTTATCACAAAGTCAGATATACAGAGGAAGAGAGAGACGGAGAAAATCCACCATCCAATGATTCACTCCCCAAGTGACCACAAAGGCTGGCGCTACACCGATCCGAAGCCAGGAGCCAGGTCTCCCACACGGGTACAGGGTCCGAAGGCTTTGGGCCGTCCTCGACTGCTTTCCCAAGCCACAAGCAGGGAGCTGGATGGGAAGTAGAGCTGCCAGGATTAGAACTGGCGCCCATATGGGATCCCGGCGTGTTTAAGGTGAGGACTTTAACTGCTAGGCCACCGTGCTGGGCCTAAAATACTTAGTCTTTCAAAATATTTAGATACAAATGTTACTGAGAAGTGGCACTTACTTAGTAACAGAATCTGAGCACAAGGTTTTAGTTCTGTTTGTGGAATGGGCACATTTTGGTTGTAAGGTCTGACTTCAGGACACTGGCAATGAAACAGGACTCTTGGCTCAGTCAGACCACTGGGAAAAATGGACTTTTAAAACAAATGATGCCAGAAGCTGATACTGGATGCCTACCTTGTGTGTACACGAGCCTTCCAGATGCAGTGTAGGATTTGGGGCAATGGCAAAACAACTTTTTTTTTTAATTGGAAAGACAGATTTACAGACAAGGAAAGAAAGATCTTACATCTGCTGTTCACTCCACAAGCAGCCTCAACAGCCAGAGGTGATCTGAAACCAGGAGCTCCTTCCGGGTCTCCCGGCAGGTGTAGGGTCCCAAGGCTGTGGGCCGTCCTCTCCCACTTTCCCAGGCCACCAGTCTCTCATGGCGCTCCCCTGCAACCTGAGAATCCCTGTCCAGATGCTCCCTCTTTTTAAAATCCCATCTGAAAGGCAGTGTGATAGAGAGAGATCTTCCGTATCTCTCTTGGCTCACTTCCCAAATACCCACAGAAGGCTGAAGCCAGGATCCTGGAATTCCATCCAGGTCTCCCATGTGCGTGGCCTCTCAGGAGCATCAGCAGGGAGCCCGACTAGCCAGAATTCAGGCTGGCAGGGTGACAGGGTGTCAGGGAGGGCTTAACTTGCTGTGCCACCATACCCAGCCCCTCTCTTCTGGCACTGGCTGTACATACACAATTGCACCCATACAGGCTGCCTTCCTGCAGACTGAGTCCCCAAGGGTCAGCACTGCTTTCCATTTAGTTTGGGGCCCAGGGCCTAACATAAAACAGATTATCAGCAGTGTCTCCCAGTGAGAAAGGATAACAGGGTCAGGGCAGCGGAGGGAGGGAGCATGACAGATGAGGCAGAAGGGCGAGGAGCAGTAGCAGCTCAGGGTTAGGGAGAACTCCACAGGGGCGCCTCCCCTCCTTAACTCGAAGCTACCATTATTTGACGCAAAGAAGAAAAAGAAAATTTGATGAACTTTATTGAACTGCAATGGCTACAATCTCTGTAGCACTATATGCCATCCCAACCTGGGCAATCAGCCACCCTGTCTCTCGAGTCTCACTTCTTGTCCTCCTCCTTCTTGTCTTTCTTGCCATCCTTGGTGGCCTGGGAGGCCAGGGAGCCCATGGCATTTCGAATGGCTTCATTGTTGGGATCCACACCTGGCAGGTTCTCCAGGACGCTCTGAAGGAACTCGGGGTCCTGCATCACGTCGTAATCATCCTCCTCCTGCAGGAAAGGCCGTGTTGGCGGGGCCCGGGGTGTGGCTGCTGGGGAGGCAGGCAGCGCTGTGCCCAGCCCCGCTGCCCGCCTGTGTGGGGCTAGGCCGGACGGCTGACCAAGAGCAGCAGAGGGCTGTGCTGGGGAAGGATGTGGTGCTACCCACACCCTCAGAGAGGATCCAGACACAGACACGCTGACTGCTGTGCACCAGAGCAGAGGCTAGGCACTGTGTTAACTGAGCTCGGGGGTGCAAGCAGATGCTGGCCACCAGAGACCTCAGCTCCTGCTCCCTTTCCCAGACCTGCTTCCCACTCCCTGGAAGATGACAACACAGAATTGTCAACAGGAATGGAAAACTGAGAACCCCAGGACCTCAATGCCCAACTCAGATCACCAGCATGGTGTGACTTCAGCATGGTTCCTGGATAGAAACGCGATCACATGCAGGCACAGGGTCACCGCCAAGCCTCACCTTAGCCGGCTCCGACGTGTCCATAGCTGAGTTGGCGTCCAGGTCTGCCGACTCGGCCTGGCCAAACTCTGGGGAGAGGAGGGCCATCCATTCAGTGCCACTGCCTGAGCCTGACAACAGGAGCAGCGCTGCACACGGGCTCCGGCCCTGACCCCTGACCCACCTGCACCTTGCAGGGACATCTGCATGGCATACGCAATCTGCTCCTCTTCTGTCATGCTGCTCAGGTCTGGGAGCCCCGAGCGGCTGAACTCCTGCTGGCTTATGGTCATCTTCAGCAGGGCGTCATCCGAGTCTAGTGCAAGCAAGAGGGACCCAGTGGATCTGGTGCCACATCCCATGCCCACCCACCGCAAAAGCCCCCACTTCAGGCCAGCCCTGCTGCACGCATACTCCTTACACACACACACACACACACACACACACACACACACTGCCCACCCCTGCCCTCGCCATGTAGCACCCTTAGGCCCAGGACGTTGGATTCCACCTCTTTCACCTTCAGCCCCAGCCGTGGCGATCCCAGCCTCCGCCGCAGAGGCAGCCGCTGCCCGCCGGGCCTCCTCTTCTTGCCGTTGCCGCTGCTCTTCCATAGAGACGCGCAGGGCCTGGGGAGGGGCAGCACAGAGTCAGGGGCGGCTACTCTCCAGCCCCACTCCTACTGGGAGCTGGGGTGTCAGCCGAGGGCGGAAAAGGAAGCAGGATAGGTGGGGAAGGAGCATGATGAAGAAAGCTAGGAGAAAGCGAGAGGGCTGACAGGCAGTGCGGGAGAGGACAACCCGGGGCAGGCCTGGAGTTTTGATGGAACATGTGAACGAGAAAGAGTCCAACACTGAAGCTGCCAGAGATCAGAGTGAGTGATGGGGAAGAGGGAGTGCAAGTGGGGTTGGGGCTGTTCAGGGCCCCACAAGGAGACCTTCATGGGCAGAAGGCAACAGAGATGGCCCTTGGGACTCTGCCAGGGTCAGCATGTACTCACCAGGGCCAGCTCGGGGTCAGCACTGGGATCCACTCCAAACTCAAAGTCACTGGCTCCCAGGCCCAGCATGGCACCGCCTTCCCCAGCCAGGATCGGAGAGCTGATGAGCGCGTCAGCCAGGCTGGGTCCAGGCGGCACCGTAACCAGGTGAGAACCAGTTCCATCTTTGCCATTCAGTGTGTTTACAAAGGCTGTCAGCTTTTCTGTGTTCACTTCCTGCGGGGAGAATATGGGGGTGCCCTGCTGAGGCCTTGCTCCCCATCCTCTGTCCTTGAGACCCCAGCAGTGGCTACCCTCCCACCCTGGGAGCACTCCCTGGGGCAAGGATCACTCTGTAACCAAACCAACACCCCTCATCCCCAGCTCCAAACCTTACTCACCTCTTCCCCAAAATTGATTATGTCAACATTGACTTTTTCTTTCTTGAGGCGCTTAGCCAGCTTCACCAGCTGCAAAGGAGAGAATCATCTGGAAACCAGTTCCGGGACCAGCCTAGTAGCCTAGCAGCTTAAGTCCTCACCTTGCACGCACTGCGTACCAGTTCTAATCCCAGCCACCCCACTTCCCATCCAGCTTCTGCTTGTGGCCTGGGAAAGCAGCTGTGGACAGCCCAAAGCCTTGGGACCCTGCACCCGCGTGAGACCCAGAAGAGGCTCCTGGCTTCAAATCAGCTTGGCTCTGGCCATATGGGGAGTAATCAACAGACAGAAGATCTTCCTCTCTGTCTCTCCTCCTCTCTATATATCTGACTTTACAATAAAAATAAAATAAATCTTAAAAAAAAAGAAAAAAAGAAAAGAGAAGAAACTAGTTCCACACTGAGTCGGGTATGGGGGTAAGAGTTTGCCTCAAGAAAGCAGACAGAAATGTGTGGCCCTCCCCAAAGTCCCCCAACAGAAACACCGGATCCCACACTCCACCTTCCCCTGCGCTGCTGCGCCCTGTGCACGCGCCAGGCTCGGCTAAGGGCCGGACGGCCTCACTCCCAGCCACGGGCTGTCACGTGCCACTCACATCCTTCTCGTTGTCCTCCACGGGGCTCCCGACGAAGGCGATGATGCGCATCTTGTGGTTCTTGCCCTGCCGGTGCTTCAGGGCCAGCTTGCAAAGGAAGAGCGAGGCCTGAGTCAGCCTCAGGCTGCCAGTGGCTCCTTCCGGGGTCCCAGCACCCCTGTTCTCTCACAGCCTCTGGGTATGCCAAGTCTACCTTCTTGCTCACGTGGATGACACCTCCCCTCCCCACCCTCCCCGCTGCGTCTCTCTCTGGGTAGGGGGCTGCTCACTGCTATGACTAGAGATTTTCTTCCCCTTCCACACTGTCACAAACTGGGACTCACACCGCCACATCACCTCCTTCCCACTCCACGCTCTCTCTCCCCCTCTGCCCTGGCTCTGGATCTAGACGACCGACAGGGGATGAAGAAAGGGAGGAACAAGCAAGGGCTCTCGGGACGACTCACGTGGGCCACGCGGATGCCAGTGCAGAAGGTGATCTTGCCCTTGGGCTGCACAGTGTGCAGCTTGGAGAGGATGCGGCCGGTGTCGGGGGTGAGCGTGGTCAGCACCTCACAGTCACTGGGACGCAGGCAGAGCATTTTAGACATCCCCAAACCAGGGCTGACTTCTCTTTTTAAAGATTTCTTTTCTTTTCTTTATATATTTACTTGAAAGGCAGGCAGACCTCTCAGCTGCTAATCCACTCCCCAAAGGCCAACAACAACCAGGGCGAGGCCAAATCAAAAACTAGTAGCCAAGACCTCACACCCAGCCTGCCACACGCAGCGCAGGGAACAAACAGCCAGCACCTCCTACAGTGTGCATTGGCTGGAAGCTGGACTGCAGGGCACAGCTGGGACTTGAACTCAATCTCTCTCTCTCTTTTAAAGATTTATTTACTGGGCCTGGCACAACAGAGCAGTGGTTGAGGTCCTCACCTTGAATGCGCCGGGATCCCATATGGGTGCTGGTTCTAATCCCGGCAGCCCCACTTCCCATCCAGTTCCCTGCTTGTGGCCTGGGAAAGCGGTTGAGGACGGCCCAAAGCCTTGGGACCCTGCATCCAAGACGGAGACCCAGAAGAGGCTCTGGCCTCCTGGCTTCGGATTCGCTCGGCTCTGGCTGCTGTGGCTGCTTGGAGAGTGAATCAACGGATTGAAGATCTTTCTGTCTCTCCTCCTCTCTGTATATCTGCCTTTCCAACAAAAATAAAATAAATCTTAAAAAAAAAACCTGTCTTTTGAAACTCTATCACTCTGCTCTTCAAATAAATACATCTTTAGGTACATACATATTGTATTAGCTGTACTTTCCTGTGAAGTTTCACCCTGAGGAGAGTGAGCAAAGGCGGGTTTATGAGCAGCCCAAAAGGCCAGCACCTCCTGTAGTGACAGCCCGCCGGCGCCAGCCCGTTCTGGTGGGAGCACCTCCAGCCACCTGCAGAGTCCCCGCCCCCTCCTGCCCACATACTTGGCAAGCGTGATGAGCCCCACGTTGTTCTCGGGGTTGCTGCGGGTCTTTGAGTGACACACGATGTTGACGGCGTCTTGCTGGGCCTGCAGTCTGGTGGGCAGGAAGTCCCCATTCCGCATGTACTCACTGTTGTCCACGCTGGGAGAGCAGGAGAGAGAGAAGAAAAGGGAATAATGAAAGGGGTCCCCCAAATGGCCTCTCTGGTTCAGGGATCCCTTCCAGACCCCTCCCAGTGGCAGCACTCCGCAGTCCTGGTGGAACTTAGAGGCAAGTGCAATCAGTGTTGTCTTAAATAAGGATGCAAAATGACCAGAGGAGTGAAATGCAATTGGATCTCCACAAATCTTTCTGCTCTGCACCTAAGGTTGTGAGCGAAGGGCATCTCACGAGCACTCCATCATAAGCTGCACTGGAGCACTGTAAAGCTTTGTCACGGGGACAGGCATTTCAAATGTGGGCAACAAGTAACTTTGAACATATTCACAGGGATACTTTCCAGGTCCATTAGTAGAGAGCTGGATCCAAAATGGAGTAGTTCAAACTTGACCTTGTACCCACACAGCATGCTGGCACCACAGGAAAAGCTTAACCTGAGAGGCCACATTGCCAACGCCAGTGAATACAATATGTTATATATATGCCAATTATGTAGGATGCCCACATCCCATAATGGAGTGTCTGGGTCCAACTCCTGCCTCTGAACGCAGCATCCTGCTCGTGTAGACCATGGGGAGCAGCAGTGACAGTTCAAGTGATTGACTCTGGGCAGCACTGAGTGCAGAGAAATACGATGTCATGCCTATAAAACTGTACCACATAATACAATGTAAACAACAATAATAAAAAAAAAAAGAAATACAATGTCAGCCCGTGGTTAACAGTGTCAACAGCAGGACTGAACTAAACGTGAGCCTGAGTGGATTTGGGATCTCATTCTATGCAACTTTGCACAATGTAGAAGAAGCCAGACAGCATGGAACACGGGCTCTTGCTCCCAGAGACCACACGGTGGCCAGCGAAGCAAAGCTCCTATGGAAGCGGGGAGGCTGGGCCCAGAGGACCCACTCCCTTTCAACTGGCAGGTAAAAAAACAAACAGGTGTGGGGCGGGCATCTGGTGAGTGAACCCATGATGGAAGCTGCTTCTATCCTTCAGTCTGTCTCTCCCCACGTCACAAATAAACATACACACACATAAAAAAATATGTGTGTGTGTATATATATACATATTTCCATTTTTTCCCTTGGTGTGATTTGTCTGATAACAGTGCAGAGGTAAGTAAGAAACCTCTGGATGGGACAGTATGTGGCATAGAAGGCTAAGCCTCAGACTGCAGCACTGACATTCCATGTGAGTGCCGGTTTGTGTTCTGGCTGCTCCACTTCCCATCCAGTTTCCTGCTTATGGCCTGGGGAATCCGTAGAGGATGGCTTAGCTCCTTGAATCCCTGCAGCCACATGGAAGACCCAGGAAAAACTCCAGCCTCCTGGCTACAGACCAGATATCTTTCTCCCTGTCTTTCAATGTATATATATTTTTTAATTTATATAGATACATTGCTTTTCTGAACTCTTTATTATTATTATTATTATTATTATTTTAAATCTTATGGTACAATTGCATAAAGTATAGGACTTCCTACCCCCTCCCCAAAACTCCAGCCCCCAAATGATTTTTCCCATAGGATCAGAATAGTATAGTCCTTCCTAAGCAGTCATACGTCCATCAGTCTGTTATTTAAGTGTGTCCTGACATTGCTGATACAGACAATGCCAGATAGCCCAGCATCCTATTGCTTAGATTTTTCTAATAGTTTCATTGGAAGTCCATCGTTGATTTGGAGGTAGAGCTGCATACTGCTGCATCTTCACATCTGGATACGATAATCTCCATTACACCATCACTATATTTTCCCTCATCAAATAAAAATAAATATTTTTAAAAAGAGGCTTCTGACAGACCCGGCAGGTCAGCGCAAGAAACATGATAGGAAACAGCCCAGAACAGGCCATGGAAAGCTACCCACTGGCATACACTTGGCAGACGTAGGGGCAAGACCAGGCTGAATCTGTCCACGTCATCCACTGGCAAATCCAGGCACCAGTGTGGGTCGACCTAGGTTCGGTTGCAGCAAAGACTAGTGCACAATATGGAATGCCGAGGTGAGGTTGCCTGTACCGGAGGGGACCGCAGCGCCCAACCAGCCTGAGAACAAGAAAGGAAGTAGGCAGAGCCAGCGGGGAAATAAGGGAGGGTTCCTTTGCTGGACAGCTACTCCCGCAGGAGAGCATAGGCTGGGATGGAGGCAGACCAGACTAGGCAGAGCTACCACACCTGTGCGCCTCATGTGGACTAGATCAGGGAAAAGCCAGGCTGGGCAGATTATCCCTACTGGTGCAAACAGAATTAAAGTGGGCGAGGGTTGTTTTGGGCAGCTGGAATCTGGGAGTGGGAGAGGCCTGGGAGGGTAATAGTGGGCTCATCCCTCTTGGGTTACCACTTCCACGGGAGGACATAAAACTAAACAGTGGCTGGGGTGGAATGGGGTGTGGGGCAGACTGGATTACTGCTACACTTACTGGCAAACCAGGGTAGGGGCGGGCCTGGCGGGGGTTATTGTGGGTCGCTCCAACTAGGCTGCAGCTCCCACTGGTTTAGGTGAGGGCCAAATATGTGCGGGGCAGAACCAGGCTGGACTGCAACACCCATTGGTTCCAGTGGAAGTCGGGAGTGAAAACAGAACCAACCCAGCAATTACAACCACCAGCTGATTGGAGCGATGGACGGTGCCTGGCCCTGTACTTGTTAGCACATACAAGAAGTTTCTTTGGAGATCTTCCTAATCTAAATGCTGGACTCAGAACCCTAACGAAGAAAAGGGAGAAGACAGAACAGGTCAACCAACCATCTCAGCTATGATGGACTATGTCAATCAGTGGATTTTTCAAAGACCTCATAGTGCTTGGAGTGGCGAGATTGACAGCGATTCATGACTGTTGCAACATCAAAACCACTCGAGCAAGAACCTCAGAGCATGCCCTACATCCGGGACTTGGGGAGGGTGGGAAATTGGGTTGGCCTTCTCCCTTAATACCCCCCTTTTAAACATGAAGGTAACAATATGGAAAACATACTAGTATTATCCACTTTCCTGTAGCCCTTGAACCTTCTTACTCTAACTAAGTATGTAAAGAATATAAAAATAAAAAAAAAAAAAATAAAAAAAAAAGAGGCTTCTGGAAAGAGGACAGAACAGATTGGACAACTATCCCAGCCCAACAATGATAGCAAATATCTGGGTGAATGGAGACTCTGAGGTGGACTACGTCAGCCAGCGGACATGGAAAGTGTTCCCTCATCCTTGGATCGGTGAGAACGACTAAAACTACCTGGGCAGAACCCTTGGGGCGTGATCCATATCAGGACCCTGGATCGATACTGGGTGGCCATTCCCCAAGCCTGGGTGCTAGGGCAGCTGGGAGGCTGGGTATGGCTTCTCCCCTTGTCTCTCCACTACCCCCAGATACCAGAAAAAGAAATGGAAAACTTGGAAACAATGATCACATCCACTTTTCCCTAACCCTCCATTCTCCCCACCCTGATCAACTATGTAAAGATCATCTAAAATAAAATTTGAAAAAAAAAAAAAAAAAGAAAGAAAAAAGCAGCTTCTGGAAATAAGTATACAGAAAAGGGAACCCAGGGCAGTGTTCAAAATCTTACTCTGCTATTTACTAACTCCAGAACTGCTGAGTTGCTCCAGGTCCAGCTGCCTTCCGTGTCACATGCAGCCACCCTTATGGAGTTGCCACCAGAATCACTGAACACCCAGTAAGCATCAAGCAGACTGGTTCTTCCAGCAGAAGCTCCATCGGCTCCCCTACACAGCCTCTAACGGAGGTCAAGGGCTGCCTCTGCTGGCCAGGCATGGATCCTCTTTCCCCTTCCCTCTCCCGCCCCTGACAGATTAATTCCAATCATTCTTCCAGCAAGGAAGCACCTGCCTCACTGCAGCCAAGAAAGCAGCCCTCCAAAGGCAGGAAGCAAGGAGCCTTTTGAGACTAGAGCATCACTAGAGTGGAGGGGATGGAGATCAGCATATGGGCAGGGAGGGGACAAAGAATCGGAGTAAAAGACGGGGGCATGAGGTGCTGTTCTCGTGGTGGAGCAGGTTAAGCCTCTGACAACGAGTTGAGTGCTGGCTGGAGTTCCAGCTAATGCACCTGGGAAGTCAGCACAAGATGCCCAGGTGCGTGGGGCCCTGCCACCCACGTGGGAAACCTGAGTGAAGATCTTGACTTCTGGCTGCAAGGGGATTAAGACCCAGTTGAGGCCATTTGGGGAGTGAGAGAGAATGGTCTCTCTCTCTCTCTCTAACTTTCTTTTTTTTTTTTTTTTATTTTTTTTTTAAAGATTTATTTTTATTATTTTTTCATTGGAAAGGCGGATATACAGAGAAGAGAGACAGAGAGGAAGATCTTCCGTCCGATGATTCACTCCCCAAGTGAGCCGCAACGGGCCGATACTATGCCGATCCGAAGCCAGGAGCCTCTTCCGGGTCTCCCACGCAGGTGCAGGGTCCCAAAGCTTTGGGCCGTCCTCGACTGCTTTCCCAGGCCACAGGCAGGGAGCTGGAAGGGAAGCGGGGCTGCCGGGATTAGAACCGGCGCCCATATGGGATCCCGGGCGTGCAAGGCGAGGACTTAACCACTTGCGCCACCGCGCCGGGCCCTCTCTCTAACTTTCAAAGTAGCAAGTATATAAAGAACAGGGGCAGGACCTGGTGTGATAACTCAATTAGCTGTTCCTCACTTTGCAAGTGCAGGGATCTCACACGGGCGCTGGTTAGTGTCCCCGCTGCTTCACTTCCCACCCAACCCCCTGGTTGTGGCCTGGGAAAGCAGTAGAGAATGGTCCAAGTGCTTGGGCCCCTGCACCCACATGGGAGACCCGGAAGGAAACCTGTGCCTCTGGATCAGTTCAGGTCTGCCTGTTGTGGTCATTTGGGGAGTGAACCAGTATGTGGAAGATTTTTCAGTCTCTCCTTCTCTAAATCTGCCTTTGCAATATAAATAAATAAATCGAAAAAAAAAAAAAAAAAGGAAGGAGCAGCATGGGGGAGGGAAGCCACATTGCAG